GTGTCCCAGCCACCCCTAAGACTAGCTTGTGTTGCATTTGCCCTGGTGGGAAAAAGATCTGTGATTTCCACCCTCCTCCTCCAGAGGAGCAATGCTGAGCCTTTGGAAAGGGAGGAATGAGCATGTTTCCTGATGCATTTTCCTTAAGCCTTTAAACACTTCCACTGCCACCCACTTCTAACTTCAAATCTGAATGCAGTAGCATACCTGGCAGATCTGTAACCTATGGTACTTTCCACTAAAACATCTGGTTGGTTGCCTCAGCTCAAATACTCAACCTGGGTTTTGTATCAAGTGGATACAGTAATCCAGTGGTAGTTCATCTTGAGACTTTAAAAGCCATCCATATCAAGTTCTTTACTTGACTCCAAGTGTATTAAGAGACCTGTGAGTCCTGCCAGCCAGACTCTAGTGCAGATTTAGCTAACATTCTTCACCTGTGACTGGCAAAATGGCAGGCCAGGATTTTCTCTTCACCCAAATTTGGAGTGCACACTTGTACAATATGTGGATTGTTTAACTAGCATGGATGATGCCCAAACATTTTCATTACGTTTATATCAATCTATCTCAGTTGGTGTACATGGAAAAATGCAAAGAGGTGAGGAGAGACTAACTGTTGTTTTAGGGCTGAGAAATCTTCATGTTCAGGTGGAGAGAACCACTCCTCTGGCACATGGTTGTCATAAAGGATCCTCTGTCTTGTAAAACTGTTTGCTCTGTGCTTCCTTTTTCTATTTTACTGAGTAGCCATAAGAGTTGGCAAAAAAGGCTGATGAAAATGACTGCAATAGGAACAATGAGCAAAATTCCTTATTGCTAGGAGATATTTTGTCTGTGAGCTCCTTCAAAAAAGAGCTGTGCTGTAAAACTTTTGATCTGTATTTTTTTGTTTCGATATTTATATAGAAACTGGGAGCAAAAATCTGGCCCCATCAGTGTCAGGGATATGATTCCCACTGCCTTTAACTGACCCAGGATTTCACCCTATATATTTAGTAGTTCTCTAAAAGGTGTAGATTGTTTTTTATTTCCCATACATTTAACATTTGACTCTTACCCAAAGCAATGGGCTCAAACCAAAATCCTGCACCTGAACAGATGGATCTGAAATTTTTGCTATGAAATCAGGTCAAATATATTTGAATTCGGGTCAAAATAGCTTTGGGATTATGGTAGATTTGTTCTGTGAAACGGTCAGTGGTGTGAGATTGTGACTTTGTAAACTGAAAATCAAGGTTTGGTCCAGATCCATTTTACCTCACTCTTAACATTTGAGATTTAGATAAACACTTCTGGTTTTGACTCAGGCATATGGGAAGTGTCATTTTGGTGTTAGTCTTTGATTTCATTGTTAATAAAGACGTAAGTTTTAGAGTATATCTAGTTTCAGTTTTCCTGGGTTTTGTTCCTTCTTTATGTACAATAAACCTAAAGACAATAGAAGGTATCTGCATATCACAAGACACTGAGGACCTTTTCGTCCTTTCTTCCTTCAACTGATTCAGAAGGTGGGATTATCAAATGATCAAGTCTGTATGGTGCAGTTTCTGGAGGTACATGAAAGTGATAACTAATGTAGGGGTTAGCGACCTGTCAGTAACAGCATGCTGTAATGATGCAGTTCATTCTCCTTGGGCTGGAGGTAGCGGCTGATGGAAGCCGCTGCTAGTTCATGCATTCTCACACAAACCTGCTTGTCAGGCCAGATAAAATCTCTTTTGGCTTAATCTGAATAATTAACACTGCTTCCCTGAAGATACATACACAGCATCCCCTCCCACTTAATTGTATGAAAGACAGTTTTCCACAAGTAGATCTGCTTTACTTTACCAGATTCACTGCCATTCTAATTAAGTCCTCAGTCAAGAATGCTCAACTCCCATCTTGCAGGTGAAATCCAGCTGCAGAGTCGCATCATCCGGCCTGTGGGGCTCCCCATTGGCTGGAAAATTTGATGGAGAGGGAACAGTGGCAATTATCACTGCTTCCCCACCCCTTGCTGCCTAATTTCCAAGTCCTGCATCAGGGCCAGACCTTTGTCACATGACCAGATCTGGCCCTGGTTGTGCCTGCCCTACCCAATGGATCAAGGCTCTGCCACCCCCATCCCTTGTGCTGGATCAGATCCACAGGATGGATCTGGCATCACCCATTCAGTCCACAGGGTGCAGGGGTTGGCACCACTGCCTTATCCCTTCATACAAGTATGGACCAATAATATAATGTGCTTGGCCACATCATCCAGCTCATGGGGCTCTTTATGGGTCTGGAAATTTGGCAGCAGGGGAGCAGCTACTAAGGCTCGCCACTGCTCCTGTGCTGCCAAATTCCTTGACTTGTGGGGAGCCCTGTGGGCTAGATGATATGGCCATAGGTTGAGTATACTTGTTCTACTAGATACTGCCATGGGGATGCTCAGTTCTGCCCCAGCTTCCCCCTAGCTTTTTCTCAGTTCCACAATGATTTTAACAGAGGTCAAAGTAGAGATGCTAATGATAAGGACTCCCCACTGCCCCACACCGCATCAGGGGCTTTGCACGAGCCCCCTGACCCCAGCCTTCCCCATGGGTGCCCCGCCCGGGCCAGCTGTGGCCCTTTAAGAAAAAAAAAAAACCTGAACTCCCCCCAGACTCGCTGCTTCTGCCAGCGGGGGGCAATCCCCACTGCCCCATGCCATGTGGGGGGCTCTGCATGAGCCCCCAAAGCCCTGAGGCTGCTGCAGGAGCGGTGAGTCCTGGAGCTGGTCTCTATTTTTCTTTTTTCTTAAAGGGCCAGAGCTGGCCCAGGCAGGGTACCTGTGGGGGGACCGGGGGAGCATGGGGGGGTTGAGGGGGCTCATGCAGACCCCCCCATGGGGCAGTGGAGGCAGCAGGGATCCCCCCCTGGCCCACCCGGCAACAGCCAGTGAGCACTGGCGCTTTTTTTAAAGTACTGAGTTGGAACGTGGTGGGTAAGAGCAGCCATGGTGGGGCTGGGGGAGGAGGGGAGCTGAGGGGAGGCAGGGGGCTTGTGCTCATCCCCCCACGGTCCCCTCCCCACTCCTCCAGCCCCAACTCCCCCGCCCCTAGTATTTACCAGCTCAGAGTCAGCTGCAGCTCCCTGCTGCAGCCACTGGGGACTGCCCAAATCATTAAAACTCTCCAAATCTTTTCTGAAGATTCGGAGAGCTTTGAATTGATTTGGACCTTTAAATTGGTGCCCTGATTCGATTTGGGTTTGGAGATTCAGCCACTGAATCGGGCCGAATCCCTCTGAATCGAATCACCACTCAAAGCTTTGCACAGCCCTACCTGGAAGGTCTCACCCCTCTCTGTCTGCTCCCCAGGGCATGAGATGCTTCCTGCAGAGAAGCACACAGCAGAAACACTGCCAGTTCAATCTTGAAGAGCCTATTTCCTCAATTTTCCACACATTCCTTGGCAGGCAAGTTTCTTTGAGTAGATGTGATATCTTTCAGCTTCTCTCATTCTTGGAGTCTCAGACCAGCAGGGACTCCCTATGCCTGAAGAAGGGTGACTGCACCCAAAAGCCTGCTAAGAACTTTTTTCCAACTACTCAGTTGGTCTAACAAAATATATCACATCTAACCAAAGAACCTTGCCTGCCTGTGTTCTTAGACCAACACGGCTACAACCAAAAACCCTACACCTTCTTTGCTATTTCTGCTGGGGGTAAGAGAGTTTTGCTTCAAGTATAAAGTATACAGCTCTAAGCACTGATTCAGTTGGCATTGGATAGATGTCCTCAGCCTTTCTTCCTGGGAAAAAAATGGGAGGAGAAAAGACCAACAATCATATCAGATTTCATGTAAATACTTTAATTATATCTGAATGCTTAAAACATAGAAACACTTGAGTTCAATTACATCTTAATGCTTCTACTAAATACTTTCAAGTACTGGGTAAGGAGGTGGAATTACACTAAAAGAATACTAGAGTAGAAATCCAGCAAATACTAGTAATATTCTTTTAGCCTCATAGTTGCATTTCATTGATGTAAGGGCTTCCTGCAGAGGGCGGAGCCTGTGTATACCAGAGGAATGTCTGAATGGCATTTCCGCCTTAAGCTTCTTAAATACATATTATTAATATGTACCTTAGTAATATCACAGGACAGACAACATGTGTGTTGTATGCCAGATGAATGGCAGGCAAATGCTTTGGCCTAGAGCAGGGGCATCAAACAAATAGCCCACAGCCTGGATTTGACCCACAAAGCCCCACCATCCGTCCCCTGCAGTGGTGCCCTTGGGTCTGATCAGACCCACACATGGTATGGGGCCAGTCTGCAGGCTAGGTTCAGGACACAACTCTCTCCCACTCCCCCAGCATACTTGTTCCAACAGTGGCTTCAGCCAGTCTGGGACCCACACTCTGTGCCCTGTAGATCCCAGAGTGGCTGGAACAGGCACTGCATGCTGTGCAGTATGGCCGAAGCAGCAGCTGCACTGTGTATGTTGGCTGCCCCAGCTGGACTGTGCTGTATGTGGTGCCCGCTCTGAGACACGTGCCACATGTGACAACCACTCCAACCAGTCCAGGATGATGCACCCAGTGCTTTCAGACACCATGCAACATGAATCCTGGACTGGATCTGCATGTGGCACAGTATTAGAGCCACTGGAGTGGGTACCACAAGCAGTGCAGTTTAACCAGGGTTGCTATGTGTGCTGTCAGTGCAAGTCCCAGACCAGATGGAGCAGCCACCAGATCAGGTATGTTCCTGAGGGGGAGGAGGCTGGAGAAGGGGTCTATGGGCCCCATCTGATCCATGGCCCAGCCCTGCCCCACTCCTCTGGCCAGCAGGGTCAGGTGAGGTTGACACCCCTGGCCTAGAGCTTGCAATTGCCTGAGTGGGGCAAGGATTTGGGTTCTGAGCATCTCACAGTGTGCTGCCTTTTTCCATAGCTAGTCATTTAACATTCCATGTTTTTTATAATCATTCTTTCAAAATTGTTAGTTTTTTGCCCCATCACTCCAATTTTATTTAGTTTTTGGGTTTTTTTTTGGCTGCAGAATATTGTAGTCCTAAAAGCTTCAAAGCCTCCTTGCAGCTGAAGCTGAAGTCTACCCGGGAGGACTCTGGTGCAGATGCTGGCTACTACTCCTGACCTGACTGAAAATGATATTAGATCTCTGGTGGCTGCATGCTGTGACGTATCTGGTTCAGCTCCTCAAATGATATAACTTGGAGTAGATTTTCTGAAGCCATGTGCACACTCTCCATTGAGGACAGTGGAGCTAGGCCAGGTTACACCAGCTGATGCTCTAGCCCATTGTTTTCACACCCCCACCCCCAAGTCCCTTATTAGTGTTCTCACTCCAAGTAGCTTAGAGCTGAGGTGCTGGGTTGCCTTCTCATGATTCCAGTTGTGTTGTCTGGCTGTATACTGAGGCCCTTTTCCAAGAGCAGCCAAAGACCCACAGGTTCAAACAGGATCCTCAAGTCCTCAAGCTTTTAACTATAAAGGGAAAATTGGGGAGGGAGGGGGAAAGGTCTGATCCCACAATGCCTCAGTGCGGTGAGCAATGCTGGTAAGGATGGGTGAGATGTTTCTATAAGGACTTCTCACAAGACAGCACTATAGAAGTAGGCAGATAAGCAGGTCTTAGCACTTGCAAAAAGGGGGCAAAATACAAACTAATAATTTGAGGGAGTGTAAACTGGCTGGCAGACTCCAACTTGTGCAGTTATATTGAGAACCCAAATTGTTAGACCCTTTTCCAGCCCACGTCTCCTTGCACAATGATCCTTTCTAGGAACACATTCAAATTGTGGCTGCCACTGCAAAAAGTGAGCTTCTTGCTCTGAGCCCTGGAGCAGGTTCTCTTCCTAGCTGAGCTCATGGATAAAATCCAGGTCTGGCTGACAAAGGCATGCATGCCAGAAAACCCAGTAGAGGATCAGTACCTGGACAGTGCTGATGCATCTATGCCGGCACTGCATAGATGGGACAGCTGGATTTGGTGCATATACCCAGAGTAACCCAAAGGAACACACTCATTTGGAAATTTCCGTCTACCTCTTCCATGAATATATTAAATGGGACTTTTACCCAGCAGGTGGAAGGAGGCCACAGAGGTCAGCATATGATAAATAGGTAGATGCACGCTTATTTTCTAGGTTTCCTCAGAGTCCCACTGCAGTTTCATAGCTGGGAAGGGAAAGAGAAGATGGGGTGATTGCCTTAAGATTTGGACATCTTGGAGAACATGGGTAAAGGGGTAATTAGCCTGGATAGAGTACAGTGTGGCTCATGCTGCCTCCAGTACCTAAACTAACTCATTTAGAGCTAGCTGGGGTTTCTTTGCACAGCCCTATCTTGTGCCAAATAGCCATGTTTCAGAGATATGGTATTCCTCTACATGGACCTCCGTAAAACTGTTGCAACACCATACATGGCCTGCCGCTCACTGCTGGCATTCCCCTACTGGCTGCTTGTCTAACTGCACTTCCTCTTGGTGACCGCCAGAAGGCTTGCATGTGAGATCACCTATTCTGTACTACCCAAAGCTAAGGTGTCCAAAGCAGCATAGCTGCACCATGATCCATGACAGTGCTCCAACCCATAAGTTCTATCTTTGGCATTCTTCCCTTCTGGTATCAGCTGAAGGCACTGCAGCAGGAGAGGTGCTTCAGCATTAAAGGTGAACTGAAAGACTGTTTTTGCCCACCAAGACCCAAGTCTGAATTTGCACTTCTGCATCAGTGGATGCAGTGCCATTTCTAAAAGAGGAGTATTCTGCTGGACACATGGCAGAGAGTTGCCTGCTTCAGTACCAGATGCAAAGAACTTTAAATGCAGCTTCTGGTGGGTACATAAATAATGCTTAGATTTTTCAGTAACTACTGATGGAGGTGTATTAATGTTTAATTTTAAGCCTATGTACCTATATTTCTCCTCAAAAAAGGATTCTGTTTCCCCCTCAAGACTTGGCTTTGAAGGGGCTTTTCTCAGCCAAAGTAGAGGAGTGGATGGGATAATATCAGCATCCATTTTAATCATTCAGGCACTGTGGTGTTTCAGCATCAACACAGGCTTACTAGGACAGGTTGAAGCCCAGGGCACTTGCAATGCACAGGGCAGCACCCAGGCTGCTGCAGTGCAGATTGCAGTGGTGCATTCAGCTACCACTGCTGTGGTGGCTATATTTGTGCCTGTCCAAAAATGTGAAGTCTGCGGCAGCTGACCTACTGCCCCTTCCCCCCAGTTGCCCTATGGTGCATCAATCACTGTCTCAGCAAGAGGTGGTTTTGCAGGCAGATATAAGAGCTCTTGGCCTCTAGTAGCTGAAAGGGTCCTCCTGCAGCCTTGCCGCATCACTGATTTAGGACATTGAACCATTTTCTCTTTTGACATTTAATCAATCAATTATTTTTCCAAAGCCTTCAGTTCACCTTTATAGCCAGTAATGGCCAGGCTGAAAGTCTTTGACACCACCCTCTGTATATGTTTATGAACAACCCCCTGGCACAAGGGTGGTGCTAAAAGCAAGGGGGACAATCTTCACCCTTGGGGATAGTATTGCATGCTCATGGATGCTGTCTAGCAGGCTGCCCTAGCTCCCAGCTCAAGGGGACTCTGCCATCCCTCAAGCATCTGTGAAAGCTGCTGCCTCTGCAGGCCACTGGTGGGGAGATGCTAGTGTCATACTGCAGGACTCTTCCGGGGATGTTATGGCACAAAGCCAATGGGAGAACCCTTCTGAACATATACACCCCTCCCCCCCACCCCTGTATTCAGTTCAAATTAATTTGTTCAGAGACCAATTCATCTCTGAACAATTGCATCTCCGTTAGCACACAACTTAGAGAGTGCCTACTGCCATCACCCCTGAAATCTGGGCATGGCAGTTCAGGACTTTCAAGGGGCAATGGATGCATCAACAACTGCTGCAGCCACCATCAAGTATTTGCTTCCTGAAGTGGGTTCAGTGCCCTGCACTTTCTCCCCAGGTGCAACACAAACCAATGGGGCAATCAGCTGGGCTCAGTGATGTCACCCATGCTTGTAGTAAGTTATTAATTGGTTGGTTCTTTGGCTATATCCTGTCCAATCTCAGCACAATCCCAAAGCAGGGGCCGGTATTGTTCATGCATTGATGGCATTAGCAACATCTGTAAACACAAGACGGCTGGGTCTCTGGAGGGCTCCTTGGTTTGTCAGAAGAATCTGCAAGGAAGCAGAGAAAGGTGGGATATGCTGCAAGGTATCATACATTGATTCATCCCCTCCCAAGGGTCATGCCAGGAGGGTAAAACATAAGGCCTATGGGCTGCATCTGGCCCACAAAGCCCCACCATCTGGGCCACCAGTGCTGCCCTTGGGTTTGATCAGACCCACAAGGGGCTCAGTGGATGCCAGTGGCATGGGGCCAGTTGCCTTCTTTTCCCTTCCCTCCCTTCTCCTTCCTCCCTTCCCATTCCCCATTCCTCTCCCCCAGCATTCCTGAACTAATGGCATGTCTGGGAGCATGGCTTGGAACATGGATCCCAGAGTGGCTAGAATGGGCATCATGTGTGATGGTCTGACCAGAACAACAGCCACACTTCACATAGTGGACACTCTACCAGACATGGCACCCACTCTGGGACACATGCTGCATATGGTACCCACTCTAGCTGGTCTGGGACCCACACTGCACACAGTGCTTGTAGGTGCAGTGTGCAGTGCAGGTCCCAGACTGGCTGGAGTAGGTACCATATGTGGCACAGTCCCAGAGGTGCTGGGGTGGGTACCACATGCAATGCAGTCCAAGTGGGGTGGCCACTACACTGCATGCGGTGCATGTTCTAGCTGCTCCACGATTTGTCCATCACACAGCATGGGTCTTAGACTGGATGGAGCAATCACCAGATCAGGTATGCTGTGGGAGGGGGAGAGACAGGAGGGAGGAGAGGGGGCCTGTGGGCCTGATCTGGTCTGTGGAGAGGGCCTGTGCTACTCATTCAGCCCACAAGGCCAGACAAGTTTGACATCCCTGGGTTATACTGATTAGAAAAACTGTGGTTAACGAGTGTGACACTGTAACAGGGGGCAAGCTCAGGGCCAGATCTCATGCCGGACTGCCCACCTGTTTCTATGGGCAATCTGCCCAGATTTGTCTGCCACGACTTTGTTGTTTCCATAAACTGTTGGTATAATGCAGGAGACTGCCCATTACTGCCCCGATACCACGGGCGGTATCTGTGGCTCTGTTCCTCCCCTACCCTGCAGCCCAAGCCTTGCAGATGCTATCCACATGTTGTACCCATATCCCAGCCCCTAACTCTGGCCTCTCTCATTGGGCTCCATGCCCCTCACTCATACTGGGCTCCTTGCCCCACACACACAGTTGTGGCTCCAAGCCTCTGGGCTCCTTACCTCTCACTAGGCTCCATGCCCCTTGCCAAACTCTGGGTTCCTTGCCCCTCATTTGCTCTGGGCACCTTGCCCCCCTCTGGACCCCCTTTGGTCCTGCCGACCTCCTTGCCAGGTTACCCCCTAGGATGTGGGGGCTGGGGTTAAGGCACCCCTACCCACCTTTCACCAGGGTTGTAACTGGCTTGGCATTCCCTGGGGGCTCCCATACCACTAGGAGCCCTACCAAGCCACCCTTCCCTGACAGGGTGCAGTTTTAGGTCATGCTGAGGACCGGGAGCTTCCAAACCATCCCCATAAGTTCCTGCCCTTACCTCCAAGGTTGTTTCTGCTGCAGCTCAGCTAGGCTATATTTCTGCCTGGACTGGTAGCAACAGACTGCAGGCTTTATACACTAGGTTCTCAAAATGGCTGCTGCCATCAAGCACCTGCTAGATGCCTGACCCAGCCCTTACAGTGGCAGGCACCAACAGTGTCCTGCCACAGAGACAAATATATATTTAGCCAGATATTGAAGTCACAGGAGCCATACCCATCTACCTTACTGGGGAACCTGGACCCTTGGATCTACCTCAGGGTTTGGGGAGCCAGAATGACCCAGCTTGGGTCTAAGGAGTGCAGGTACTAGGACCTGGCTACCTCTGCTGTTTCTCCCTGTGTGTGGCTGTGGAACAATATAGTGCCTCCCTCCCACATAAGTCCAGGCACCCAGCTGCAGTGCAGAATAGGTAGAGCCCTGCTCCCCCATCCATCGTGAGGCTGAATGTTACCAAAGCCACAGCTCTGCAGGCTGTATCCAAAGGCTTCACAGACCAGAGTCAGCCCATGAGCCATACTTTGCTGACCCCTGGTGTAGCTTACCCAGGCCTGCATGAATTAGCAACGTGTAATGCTTTCTATTTCCTGTACCCTTTGTGAGTCTTATTGCCTCACTTTATCAATCCTTTATGTAGAAGTTCATATGTACAGGACTGTCGCTTAAATGTTGCAAAACTAAAAGACTCTTCCCTCAGTGGTCCCATGGAATCAACTATGTGCAAAACTGCCTTCCATGTTGGATTGATTCCCTTGTTATTTTAAACAGTTAAAATAGCCATTCTCATTTCAATGGTAGCTGTGGGGCAAGAGACTCCATGGGGATCCAGAGAGTCCTTCTGGAGTGCCTCCATGGAGATCCAGGGAGTCCTACTAAATAGCAGGGATGCACTAGTCTGGGGCTGGATGGTTTGTGGTGATCTTCTCCATGTGTTACTTAAATGAGTCATTTTTATGCATCTTGGGTGCATCTATACAAGATGTTTACTGCAGTTGACCAATTACCTCCACAGTAAATATCTCAATGTCTACACATATGCCCATATTAGGCCACAGGAAACTAATAAACTCTGCAGCAGGGTAGTACTATAAGTACTATTGTGCTGTGGAGATTTTTTTTGTGTGTGCAGCAGTGCACATGTAGACACTGATGTGGCTGGCTGGGGCATGATGGCTTCAGTGCAGGGGCTGCTTGCTGGCTAGCCCCATGCTGGAGCACTCTTGTACCCCAGCCAACCCCTCTGCAGCACATTAAGTTGGGTTGTAGCAGCCCTGGGCTAGCAGGCTGACGCCCTGGGTCCCCTGCCAGCTAGGGCTACTCTGACCTGGCTCAATGTGCTGCAGTCCTGGGCACATGTTCAAATGGTATGCCTGGGAGCAATAAATGCCAATGCAGCAGATGCCATTATTTGTTTCAAATTAATTGCACGTGTAGACGCACCCTTTATGCATAATCCATGCATTTAATGTTTGTCCCTACATGCACTGCATGTAGTCAGGACTCCTCCTTTACATATTACTCTCTGATTCATGATAATCAAAATATTCAATACACAATCCTCTATGACTAAAAATCAACCCCAGCACATGTGCGCATGTGCATACAAGCACACACCCACCCACAAACTGTACTATAACCAAAAGTAAGTTATGCAAGAGTCTTAAGTCATCTAAAATGAACACAAGTCTTCTTTGCCTTACCCTCCATCCCTTGTAGCTCCCAAGTTGAGCCAGGTCTGAACAGACACCCCATGTTTTGGGGGAAGTGAGCTGGTATCTGAATCAAGACTTTGGGCCAGTTCTCATCCTTGGCCTTTATTCATGCACTGGTGCCACCAAAACCCTGCATCTAAAGTCCCCATGAATTGAATCAAGTTTTCTAGTTCATCTCTGTCTCTACCCTATGTTTATCCCTATTAATTCTTGAAGAAGGATTTACCATGGCAACTCTCTGAAGGAGAAGAAAGAACAGCAAACACCACTACTGTTTACTTGACAGCTCTAGGGTTTCCCACCTGCACATACTACAGTTTACTGCTGCATCTCACAGTTGTGCTTCAATGGGTGAAGGGAGAAAGTTGCCTTGAGAAAAAGCCTTTGGCATTACAACTTGTTTGTATTTCCTGTTTCTTCCAAATCTGCTACAGGTGAGTTAAAAATATTAAGTGAAATGTATGTGCATGAAAACTGACAGGGCTACAAAGTAACTCCCTGCCCCCAAGGAAAAGGTCCACAGGGAAGAGCTCCACAGGCTGCATGGAGCACTTGAGGAAGATGTAAGAAAGGAGCAATGTCGGCTCTACAGAGGAGCTGCAGTCACCTTGTTGGCTTGGAGACACACCTGTTCCAGCTGTCCCTGCAGGCTCTGCATTTTAGAAGAACTCTTTTCCACAAAGAAAACAGAAAATGCAGTGAAACTTGCCAAAGGCCATACGAGGAAGCCCCCTTCCCACTCCTCCCACCTCCTGGTGCACTTGGCAGACTGGCATGGAGCTCTCTGAAGGCTGCTAGGACTACACCAGCAGAAACAGAACACAACTGACAAACCCACTTGGGTCTAAGCACTTTACTAACTAGTTAGTGGCCTCTATGGGCATGTGGATTTGTCAGTGAGGTTGCATGTCACAGCCACTCAGAGCTTCATGGCAGCCAGGACGGTACAACACATGTCTTGTGGGTACAAATCCACAAACCCTTCTCACTTGAGCAAAAGATGAAACTCACTTCCCTTTCTTCTGTCTAGACCACGTTGGCCCCAGTACTCAGCTGGTCTGGAGACATGGGCCCTGGCTAGCCCAGTTGAGACACAAGTTATCATAGTTCTTCAATTCAAGCTTTGATCTTGTGCCCTTTGGAGCTAGTGCCAAGAAAAAACAGCTATGGTAATAAATACATTGAAGACTGCTCCTCCCACAACAAGGCCTGTGCTGAGATATGCTTGTACCACAGCTGACTTGTGGACAAAGAATGGGGTTAGGTTCCTTACGTGTAGTTTATAAATAGTTAGGTCCTTTGCTGTGAGCCAAATATGCCACCCCCATGCATTTGGGGATCTCTGTCTGTTAACACCCCCCATCCAACGTCAACTCTATCCAATACCCTCCTCAGACCTTTTGGCATCTCCAGAAATGAGCTATAGTAAACCTATCCCTAACTGCTGAAACCTCCCAACCTCCTAGCAGACAAGATTCTGCATAATTTTCTCCTACCACTACCCAGTAATGACAGGCACTTGCCCCATTTACCCTCCAAGCTGCTCACACCTCCCAGCTTCAAGGGAGTCACATGGGTTAGAGAAGCCCACCCAAGCCCCTGCATGGCCTGATCAACACAGCCTCACAGAAAGGGCATTATCCTACAGTAAATACAATGCATGTGCCAGTCATGAGAACAGAACCACCACCCATTGCTGCACAGACTGGAGAAGAGAAGAGCCACATGACTGTAGACAATGTACAATGTCTTTTGTAGACAATGCCTGCCTTGCTCTGTGAGGCCTGCAAAGATGCAGCATCTCGCCCGTGCTCCAGTAGCTCTTGCTCCAGCTCATCCTGTTCTTCTGTGGGGTCAAAGTTGTACATGGGCATGAGTTGGTGCCGCAGCTTCTCTAACCTGCCAGAGGAAGAAGGGCAAAGGGTTATATGAAAATCAGCTGCTAAAGGGGGAAAGAGATGGAAACCCCAGCCCAGCCTAGGTGAGCCTCTCCCCATTCCACCCTTCCGCTGAGCAGCTGTGTGCAGGCTGGGTGTCCACAGCTGCATGTGAACCCAAGGGGAGCTTTTGTTCAGTACCATCTCATGCTGTTATGAAGCAAAGGGATTCTGCTATAACTGCTACTCACAGGGAGGGTAAGAATCTACTCCTGCTATTAGCTAACAGTTGCATTGCAAGCTGAAGCAGAAAATGCCTATTCTGAAGTCCCAAGGTTCAATAACCATTAATATCTGGTGGGGATAGCTGTTATATATGTGGCAGTGGCCTCTACAGGGAATTGATACAGGACAGGCTTCACTTGGGAAGGCGCAGCTGGGAGTGGGCCATCACATACTGGCTAAGCATGTTGTCCCTCCCCTCCACAATCATGACTCACCCTGCTGAACGAATTACACTTTCAGCTCAAGTAGGCAAGGGCTGTACTTCAGGTCTGGATTCAGTCTTTGCAGAGAGAACCTGGGGCATATCAGTTGGATCTAAAGAGACTTTGTTGCTCTTTGTGGTATCCAAACTGTCTTAAGCTGTGTTGCTGGAAATCACCACAAAGGGTTGCCCTGCATCCTGGCGTGGATCACATAGCAATGGAAGTGACTGCTATCCTCAGAGATGCATGTGTGCTTGTGCTGGAGTCCCTGCCTGTGACGGTGGCTGCAGTTTATGAGTGTGACTGTGCTGGGTGGAATGGATTACAAAGCTGTTCCTGGCAGAGCAACCACAAATATCCCTCTTGGCAAACACTCGGATGACACATTTTCAGCACACCCTCCTCCTGCTTCCAAATGGGCTTTGCCAACTAAGTTATCAGCTCTGGCAATTTTATGTTTACAGGCCAAGTGCTTCATCCTCCAAATTTTAGATTTAGAGACCAGCTTGGAAATTTCACAGTTGGCAGAAATATATCAGGCAGGTTTGTGTACAGCCCAGTACCGCCAACAGCAGTCAGCAAGAGAGGTGCTGCCCACAACAGATATAAATTAAGTGCCCATCCATTAGAAAGGGCAGAGGAATCTAGAAGAAGAATCTTTCCCTGTATTCTTCCCTCATCTCTATTTCCAGCAGTGAGTTTAGTAGGAAAACTAGCCAGTAAGTCTCAGGCTAGGAAGCTTAATGCCTGTGCAAAATAGGATTCTCCTGGGAATAGCAGAGTGCAACCTGCCATCCGTTACTCCTTCCAGGACTACAGAGACAAGTAGGAGGTGTTAGACTCCCCACACTTGCCATACTGAGCCCAAGCTTTGAAGAGCTGGAGTTTGGCAGACGTAGGGCATGCTGCTGTGACTGCAGTGGAAAATGGAGACACCTGAGCCAGCATTGAACTATAAGGGTGCACCAATAAAGATTTTTTTTGGCCGATACCAATGGCTGATTATTAATCAGCCATATTGGCCGATTCTGATCTGATATGCAGCACAGCCAGCTGAAGAGCAGCGTCCAGCAATAAGTCTGTGGGACGGAAGGGTTGGAAGGTAGGGCAGGGGCATATTAAGGCCCCCTCGGGAAGGGAGGAAGTGGGGCTGGGGCAGGGGCATGCACTGCCAAGGCAGGGCAGTGAATGTGCCCCCACCGGTAGTGGAGCAGAGCTTTAGGCAGCTTGTCCAAGGAGCATGGCAGGGAGGGGGTTCACCCCCAGGGGAGGCTGTGCTCACCCCTGTGGGAGGTGTGGGGGGCATGTGGCCCCTCTGGATTTGTGCGTGGGGTGAAGACAAGCTGCCCATTGCTGGCTTGGAGCCAGGGGCTGCACTGGCTTCTTCCCAGTGTTGGGGGCTGGGCCAGGGCTGTGCTTGGGGGAGGGGGGGCAGGTAGCGGTGGCACTGGGAGGGGTGATTAAGGGGTAGGTTGTAGCCTCCCAAAAACTCCCCATAGCCCCCCTGCATAGCCTCACCTCCCAGCACCACCACTGCCCCCCCCGCTCCTGCATGCCCCAGTGCAGAACTAACCCAGCCCCCCCACCAGGAAGAGGCTGGCACAGCCCTGGGTCCCCAGCCTGCAGTGGGCAGCTCTTCCTCATCCTGTGTACAAATCTGGGGGACACATGCCCCCCCATGCCTCCCTTTGCGGCACACACAACAGTGGGGAGATGCCACCCTCCCTGCCCCCCTGCATCCAACAGATGAGCTGCCCGCATGCACGCAGCATTTATTAGTGACATTATTGGCCACACTGGCCAAAAAAAGCTGATTGCTGATAATGTTAATTTTCCTTTGATCAGTGATGATCCAATATGGACTGATATATTGGTGCACCCCTATTGAACTAGCTAGCTTGGGGACTGTTAACAGTCTGGTCATGGTAGCATGAAGCTCCAGTGGGCTGCAAAACTTGTTTCAAAAGCACCTTCAGTTAGCCTGTACTAAGATGCAATCTGTCCCAGCTACAGTGGTAGTTTACTACTATTTCTGGTATCTCTGTACCACATTGGTGTCACTGCTGTGATTGCAGTATAGATGTACCTTGCAGGGAAATATCACTGAAGCAGCCTACTGGAACAGAGTCCCTTCTGCAAACATGGGGTTGGGGCTAACTGGAATTTAACAGACCTTCACTGCTCTCCAGACCCACTCAGTGCTACACAGGCCGCAGGTTCTTTATACCAGCACAGGCCTCCTGCTTGTTTAGGATCTGATGAAGTAAGCTTCTGTTTATGAAAGCTTATGCACCTCTGACTTAGTCTGTAACATTCAAATCTACCCTGCCTTCTGCCCTTTTCCTTAGCCCACCTCAGACATGAATGGTAAGGAGTTCTGAGGAACCCTCATCCCACAGGCAGTGGACCACAACTGTAGGGGAACCCTTCAGGAGTCGGCTTTAAAAGGCAGCCTAATACACAATGTAGACCAGTTGCTCTCTCCTACTCCTTCAGTGGCTCAGATAGAGTTGGTCCCAGCAGATCTTGTTCTCAAAGGGACCACCCTCTGCAGCCTCCCTGTTGACTGGAGACTTCCTGGCCTTGGCTGTGAAGTATTAAGATGCTCCACCCAAAAAACAGATAGCACGTACCTCTTTCTCTTCCTGATGTACAGAACCTAGAGGAAAAAAATAAATGCCATTATGACAATTCTGTGAGTGTCACAGCTTAGACCTCTGGGCTTCTGAATAGGACATGTCTAGTCCAGAAAAGGAAGAGCCCAACAGACATCTGGAAGGGATTGCTGGGAAAAGCTGAGAATCTGAGAATAACAGGGCGCATCTACATGAGACATGTTACTGCACAGTAGAGCTAATTACTGCACAGTAAGCTTCCACATCTACATGTGCAGGTGTTTACTGCATAGTAATTGGCTCTAATCATGAGTAAATTTGCTACCTGCAAATGCAAGTAGCAAATTTACTCATGATTAGTAATGCACAGTAGCGCACGTATAGACCCCTGACTGGGATCAAATGTGCTCCTGGTCAGCTGAACAGCGGGGGGTCAGAGATTGCTCCCTGTCCCTGGGAGCTGCCTACGGCCAGGGCACGGGGACAATGTCCCCCTGCCCTAGCAGCAGGGAGCTCCCAGTCCCCACTCCAAAATCATGGGGCTAGAGCTGGGAGATTCTTATGCCCCAGCCCAAGTCCCACCATGGGACCCAGGCTAGGAGATCCTTCTTTCCCAATGCTGACCCCTGATCATGGAGCAGCAGTGGGAAAGAAGGATCTCCCAGCCCGGGCCCTATGACTGTGGAGATCGGGCTGGGAGATAAAGATCTCCCCAGTCCCTGCTCCCTGCTGCCAGGTCAGGGGGACATTGTCCCTGCCAGGGCTCCAGTGGCAAAGCCCACCCCAGCAATAGGCAGCCCCCACCAGGAGACACTGTCTCCTGGCCCTGTGCTCCCTGTGAGCCCCTGAGCTAGCACCCAGGGGGAGCCTAGAGCTCCTTCTGGCTGCTGCAGGGGGCTGGTTCAGGGCCAGCAGGGGCAGAAGCAAATGGCTGCCATGAACAGCAAATCTGCTCCCGAGACCCTGAATGTATACTCTAGAGTAAACTGATCCTGGATTATTTTCATGTATAGATGCTCCCACAGAGAGGGAAGCACCAATATCTGTAGTCACTGTACACCAAAAGGGGTAGGCCACAACCTGTTTTTTTTGTATATCAATGTAAATCCTGTGACTTATTGAACCACATGGAAGGTCAGCTGTTTAGAGAGCATAGATTAGTATCTCTGTTGGTTGCTGGACAGCAGTGACTATTTAGACCACCTGAGGACCTGGCCCTTCATGTTTTACATTCTTATTTTACCACAGAGAGTATCTGTTGTTATCTGCTGCTGATTACAGGAATATGCAACAAAGAGATGGGAATCTGTGATCTGTCACTCAGTAGGTGAGTTGCTGAACTGGAAGGGGAACTCAACACTTCTGATTCTCCCTGTTTTGAATATTATATGTGCTGAGTAAAATTGTGGAGAAAGCCTCAGGGATGGGAGTCTTGTGGAAATTCTGATGGACACAGACTTCAACATCTCATGGATGGGGTTGAAAATTTTACTCATAGCCTGCAATAAAACTCTACAGCAGCTGGTTCTACTGATTAAATTGTTGGGAGTTTTAAGAGAAATTGGCCTTCAAATAAAGAATTGATTCTTCTTGTTCCCTTCCACTTTCTGCCTAACAGGTGAATGAGCTTATGATCTAACCAGAGAAATGTAGAGCTTGCAGCATCCTCTCCACAGACACAGAGCTAGGAGAGAAAAAACATTTAGAAAGCCACTTCCTACAGCAGAGATGAAAATGCTAATTATATGGAGCTGTTCCTGGAACTTCAGGAGCTCATTAAATAGCCTACAGGCAGTACTTAAAATTTCAGTGCTTACATAATGAATCTCTGTATGTCATCTCAAGCACTGACACATGGGTATGTCCAACAACATAGGCTCTTCCGTCTCCACGTAAGAACTTAGCCATATAGGGATGCTCAAGGAAGTGAACACAAATTAATAAAAGTACAAATTAAAGTAGATTAATTAAATCCACATTATACCTCCATGTGGACAGTCTTACTCAGAATTAGGGTGGCTTCGGTTCATATTAGTTTAAATCACTTCCAAAGTAAATTCAGCTAAACTGAATTATAGTCACTTTTAATTTATAATGGACATTTTCTGACATGTTCTGATTAGAACTGAGTCTGCTGGAGTCAATTAACTGAGTTTCCTGTGTAGCAGAGCACTGAGGTGCCTGCTACTTGTGGAGCCCTCAGTGAGGAGCCCAGCTGTGGGTTGCCAGGTAACTGGTAGGCATCAGCTGACCAGAAGGGGCAGGGCCTGCCTCCCACATAACTCCCAGGCTGAAGCTAGGCAGGCAATTGCCTGCCAGCAGCCATAGGGTATGAACTCTGCTGGAGTGAGAAAAAGGAAGAGGCTAGAAAGCACAGGCAGTTGTTCGGGTGAGAGATGGAGAAATCCGGTGACAGACTTGAAGATGATTATGGCCAGATGGCTTAGGTTTACGTTATAGCCAAAGGGCTTGAATTTACATTGATGGTTTATGACTGGAGGACTGGGTGAGGCTATAAGGGGATGAAGGAGACCTCATAGGGGAGCCATGGCTGCGTGGAGACCCCAGAGAAGCCCTGGAGGGGGGGCAGCGAGAAGCCCCAGAAAGGGGGCTGCGGAAAGCCAAAGCACCTGTGGGGCGTGTTTCTGAGACAAGGCTGCAGAAAGCCCGAGCGCCTGTGGGGTGCAGAGAGTGAGATGTACTGAACATTGTTTGGTCTATCTGCGAGGCTTGGGGCGTGGTATAGGGGTGGTTGGAGCCATGCATAGCCCATAAGGCCGGCGTGTTCGGAACCCCATTGTATAAACAAGGATCGGGGTAGTAGGAACCGTGACCAGGAAAATGAGAGGCAACCTCCCTTTAACTTTCATAAGATCAAGATGTGGCAGGCAAGAATGAGGGTGCATTAACACAAACTGCATTACTGTGCATTGGCATGGTAGGAGGTGCTAGGGGAGAGCACGGCAACCCTAGGACGTTTTCCCCCGCCTGGTACATCCTGGAACGTTGTAATCCAGTGGGCTGCAGTGTCTCAGGTGTTCAGCATCCCGCATTTCAAAACCACAGCGGGGCACTTTAAAACTTGTCGAATGAGGCTTAGTTAAAGTGCCCCCTCTACCATTTTGAAATGCAGGATGGTGAATACATAAGATGCTGTAAGCATTCTAATTAGAGCAGCTCCTGAGAGCAAATTAATTGAAGCAAACTCAATTAATCGTGTCTCTGGAGTGTGCTAATTAGCATGCTCCAGCAGCCTTGGTGTCACGTATTCAGTGTCCTCATGCTTCAAAATGATGGTGGGGTACTTTAACTAAAGCTTGTTGAATGAGCTTCAGTTAAAGTGCTCTTGCCACCATTTTGAAGCATGGGACACTGAATACATAAGCTGCTGCAGGCATAGGCGCTGACCCTTTTTTTGCTGGGGGTGGGGCCTAAGATGTCTTCCCCTGCCCCACGTAGCAGCATGGCTGAAACAGAGCCCATAGGGGTGGAGGTAGATGCAGGCTGCCTGCTGCAGGCTCAGGGCTCTCTGCCTTGCTGCCCTCTCCCTGGGAGCCCTGTGCTGGCCACACTGCCATAAGAAGGTGTCCCCTGCTCCCCAGCAGCAACGGGGGGCACAACTCCATGCGGCCACTCCTGCTGCTGCCAGGCAGGTAGGGGGCACCTTGCCATGGTAGTGTGGTTGGCACAGAGTTCATAGGAGGAGGGCAAAAGGCCAGGGGGCCCCCCGAGGCAAAAGAAGGCAGCCTGTATCTGCCTCTGCCCCATGCACAAATCTGGGGAATATGTGCCCCCTCATTCCCCCTTCTCAGGAGTGTACACAGCAGCAGGGAGCCAGCCCTTTCCCACCCCATGTACCTGTGGCTTTGTCCAAATCCCTGCCTCAGGCCTGGGCCCCATGCACCACCTTGGCTGGGCAGTGGCCCCCAGGTGCAGCCCCTGCCCCACTCCCTTCCTTACTATGGCGGCCTTAATCTGTTTCCCCCCCCATAGACTTACCTGGAGGCAGCTAGGGGAGCTACTCTCCACTGCTGCCTGGGGCTGTATTCCTGGCCACATGCATATGTGCACACATGCACATGGTGCTTCCTGCATCCCGCTCCCAGCACCCCTTGTAGGCTGGAACTCTGCCAGCCTGCAAGGGGAAACCTGCTGCTTCCTGTGTTTTTTTGTTTTTTTTCCCATGGTGAACACAAAAACTGGATCCCTACACGACACTGCGAATCCTAGACAAATGCTGTCTGGGAGTCATGCAGCCCAGGACTGGGACTTGATGTTCCCATTTCAGGACCATCCTGCCAAATTAGGGACAGGTGGTCACCCCACCCTCTTCTTGATGGGGCCAGGGCCCTCGGGCTCCCACGTATTCAGTGCCTATGGCTGTGGGCACTTTAACTAGAGTGGCTCCCGAGAACCACTCTAATAAAAGCATCCCCTTTCATCCTGGAGCATGTGTAAAGACCTCCTTGGAGACTAACTGGTTAGGTGAGGCTTGAGTTTTCATAGCAACAACCTGCTCCCTCAGATGCTACTAAAACTATGAAAAGCTCAAGCTCTCTGAACCAGTTAGTCTCTAAAGTGCTACACTGCCCTACCTCTTGCCCAATTCTAAATATGTCCATGCCAAACTTTTTAATATGGTTCAAGTAATCCACTTAAAAAATTGTTTCAGATTAACCTTCTCAAGGGTCCCCATGTAGATAGGACCACTCAAAGGAGTTATTCCAGATTTACAACTGAAAGCAGACTACTTCATTACCTTTTACATAAACTCCCCAACACTATGAAAATAAAGTGCTAATACTCCTTATGGGAACTGGTTCTTGGCATCCCTCTAGCCCAGTCAAGCACTCTGCCTAGAACCAAACCAGGATGATCCTAGCACTACTGAGCAGTTTTTTAGGATTATCATTGCTCTTGGGGGGCCCCGGACTATTCCCAGGCTTAACTCTTTCTGAGCACTGGTGACTGAAAAATGATGGACCTTGAGAAACTTCTTGTTTTCCAGCACTGTTGCATGATTTTTGGTGTGGCGGTTCTTTCTCAGTTTGGTCAAGCGATGTGAATCAAAACGGATGTGGATATATCAGATCCGCAATCCCTTTTTTTTTTTTTTTAAGAGAGAAATAGCTAGTG